GGGGATATGGTGCAAGGTAATCTTCAAGAGGAAATATAATAGAAGCATTTTATGAAGCAACTTGCAGTAGGTTAAGTTGAGAACTAGAGATCTTAAATATTAAAGTGATGAATAAAACTACTCTAATGAAAATTTCAATCAATCGATTTGGATAATCGACTTTTGTTATAAGTATAATATACTTCTATCTGACTTATTGTAGTCTAAACATACATACAGAATAGTGAAAAGGTATAAAACACTATGTCAGTGTTAGAACAAAGTATTCAATAAAATAATAATAGTTAAAATGGATTAAAAACATAGACCAAACATGAAGACAGAATGGTAAACAAGTTTAAAAATACTATCTAAAAAATCTAAAACTAACAATAGTGAATAAAATAATAATAGTTTGACTTGATTAAAGCATATCAACCAGTCCAAACAAAAGCATTTTTTTTTTACAGGCCTTGAAGAAAGACTCAAACATTATTTTATATATGTTTTCTTTTTCTTTCACAGTAATGACCGTTATAATGCAAATTAATAATTAAATAATTAAGTAAATACATAATTTGTTAATACATTTTTAATAAGGAAGTTCCACGAAGGGAATAGGTTTTTTTTTCCTTCAAAAATGCATTAAGAGGGACAATAGCTGACGTCATAAAAGACGACAACAATCGGCTGTTTTCGGGATTCCATGAACAAGTGTGATCGAAGTGATTGTGAACCACGCGTAATCCGTGCGGAACTCTTGTGAACTAGTACCAAAAGTATAATATTTACAGCAGAAATGTGATATGGTAGGATAAAAACAAAGGATAAAGATTTAGGATGAAAATTGAGAGTTACAGAGCATGTACGATTTGACGTAGGAGATGTTGAGAGGTGGTTAGGCAGCCGTTGGATGATTAAGCTCAGAGAAATCAATTCTTTCCACAAATGCATCAAATTCTGAGAAATATTTTTCAATGAGATCCTTCTTTGAAGGCGGCCATTGGTCTCCGTTCACCATGACAGCAGAGACCAAGTTGTATCCGTATTTATCCAGTCTAGTGCAGTCAAGGAGGTGGTCGTATATTTGCTCACTGTTGCCGTCGCATTTGCAAATTTTGTTGTCAGTTAACTTGAATCTGAATAAACAGCTTTTGGCTGCTCCGTGTCCTGTCAAAAACTGTACTAGTTTAGATGATAATTTCTAAGTTTGGTTCTTTCTCCTAAATTTTTAATGTCTTCGTAGGTGTGTCTGCCTTTTGTTGATGTCGCCCAGATTGATCCCACGCTTGTCTTGTTCCTCTTCTTAGAAAGTGTTTAATCGCGCTAGTCGGTGCTTTGTTGAATATTAACGGGAGTGCGTTGTCCCTTGCCGCAGCCTTAGCCGCTTCGTCCGCTAGCTCGTTCCCCAAAATGCCAGCGTGTGCCTTTACCCATTTAAAGGAGATATTTATACCTTGGTTGTAGCAACAGATCAACGCTCGCTTAATTTTAATAGCTTATTCCCATTGTTTATAATTTTTGTCATAATATTATGTATCTTCCACAATTCTCTATCTTTTTGTATCTTGCCCGTTCTAGTCCTGAAGAAGACCTGCAAAGTCGGGTCGAAACGTTGGATTTTAATAAAATAGTTTTGCTACTATTCATCCTATTTATGAACGGCACCCAGGACCATCTCCTTCTTTTATGCCAACTATTAAACATTCAATAGTATTATTTAACTACAGTACATGTATTTAAGGTTATAAACATTAAGGTTATACATCCGTATAATATCTTTATTTTTCACTTCTTCTTAAAACAATTTCATTGTCTGGATTAGGTGAATTTTAAATACTTTTTTTCAAACTTAAAAAAAGTTTTAAAAGTTTTCATTTAATTAGTAAATTTCACTTAATTTTCTACAAAACATGTGATTTCCGTTAAATAATAATAGTTTTCACAAATTATTATTTATAATTTTTCATCACCTTCTACGACTTTCTATATTAGATATTGTTTTTTTTTTTTCTAAAATTCTTCGCTTTCCAACAGTATATTATATGTATATCTTCTAATTAGTATTTTCGGAAATTCATTTTAGTCCTAAATAAACATTTTCCCTTTTTTCTCCATTTATCAATTATCAAATTCTTTCAAAAGTTATATTTAGCATTTTTTTGTAACTTTTAATAATGAGGGATAGTTGAACCCATATTCAATAATGAGAAGACATGTTGAACATTTAAGCATTTAAGCCCTGTAACGTGATATCAATGGGGATAAGACCTAGATGATATTAAGACCAATTAATTATACAACGAGGCACCGAGTTTAATCAAAATCGTTAGAGCCGTTTTTGAGAAAATTGTAAAAATGTGTCTATGTGATTATATAAAATATCACTTTCAGTTTGCCAATTTTCACGAAAAAGTTTCTGTAACATCACCTTCATATACAAACCTTAGATACGCAATTTTAGTTTCACCAACACACAGACCATTTTGCGAAACTTGTTTTTTTGGACTCAGGGGACCTCAAAACATGTATTTCCGTTGAAAACTCGGATTCGAAAATTTAACGATTGCAGTACTTTCCCTAAATTACAGCTGAATGAAAGTAAAAAATTAGTTAATCTGGTAAAGAACTTCCATAATCCGTCATCTTGAATTCAGTGTTAGGTCAATATGCTGCATATTTTGTGTCCATTTCAAGTGGCAAGTTCTTCGGATAATTAAGATTTACTGAAGTGTTTTTTGAGTTAAAATTACAAATTGTTTAACATATTGGTTATTTTCATGTATCTGGGATAATCCTTTGTGATTCACACAGATTTTTTACCCTTTCTATTTTTTTATTTTTTGGATCCTCCATACTGGACAAGTATATGTTATTAAAGAGCGTATAACCTATTTATTTAAAATATTTTTGTTTTTTATAGAAAGAAAAGATTTTCTTCAAAAGTAGTGATCCATTATACTGATAAGTTTTTTTAGCTTTACCGCATTTGTTGTTGGTATGAGATGTTATTATTAACTTTTTATTTAATTACAGTCCACTGTAGGTAACGGATTGAGCCCAGCAGATTCTAGTTTCACTGAGGGTAATATTCGCTATTCCTTCGTTTGGTGAATATTATTGCTCCTCTTGTGGGTTCATTTTTTGTTTGTTATTTTCCCTCATTTTTTATAGTATTTAGTCAGTCTGGTAATTGAAGATTTAAGTCTGTTCTCTATTGTGTCTATTCTGCAGAAACTTGCGTAAATGGCCATATCGTCTCCATACAAGGATCTTTTAAGTGATGGGAGTGAAGGGAGGTCGAAGATATATATATATGTGTATATATATATATATATATATATATATATATATATAGTATACACTGACAGACAAACAATTCCACCCACTTGATTTTTTCATGTTTTCATCTAAAAATATTTCTGCTTTGGATTGGTCTATTATTTTTAATGAATAAATAGGTAATATTATTGTTTGTTTTCAATTAGGAATGTTAATATAGAGGACAAGAACCCTTAATCCTTAATTCAATGAAATGATTCTAGATTCCAATGTTTCCAAGATACCAAAACGAACCATTATTATTCTAAAAGAAATTAATTACATCATCGTTGAGTAGCGCGTGTTCCCTCCTCTTGCCTTCACTACATCTTGAAGACGCATCGGCATACTTTCCACCAGTCGGAAAATGTTCCTTTGCTGGAGGATAGCCCTTTCCTCCCGAAGAGTCCTTTCAAGGTCCTGCAGTGTATCAGGAACTGTTGAAGTGCTCTTATTCGTCTTCCGAGGTTATCCCATAAATGCGCAATGGGGTACAAATCTGAAGAACGTGCTGGCTAAAATCTCAATATTGTTCTGTTGAAGGAACGTCTGCACTATGCGGGCGACATGTGGGCGTGCATTAGAATAGAACGATCGCCGATTTCGTTGAAGATACGCAACACATGAGGTTCCAAAATCTCATCTACATAGCGAATGGCCGTCAAAGACCCTCCACGAACAACAACCAATTCTGTGCGGCTCTCCATTAAAATTCCAGCCCACAGTATTAAGGAACCACGTTGGAAAGGTTGGCTCTGGGAAAAATTACAGGCTGCATATCTTTCGTTTCTTCTTCTCCACACCCTTTCACGCCCGTCTGGAGATCGAAGAGCGAATTTTTACTCATCTGTAAAAAGTACAGTAAGTACTCCATTCGTCCATAGTCAAATGGCTGTGTTCTCGAGCAAAAGCCAGCCGTGTTACTCTGTGAGTACTGGTCAACTCTGGTCCTTTTACTGGACGAAAAGCCATTAATCCATACTCATTTAATCTTCTCCGAGCGGTACGTTCAGAAATTTGCACACCTCGAACTTCTTCGAGCCGATGAATCGCTTGAACAGCGGTAAGGTGCCGGTTTCGTAAAATTCTCAAAGTCAAAAACCGGTCATCCCGTGCTTCTGTTACCCTAGGCCGTCCAGAACCGGGCCTTCTATTGTAGGAACCAGTTTCCCGAAAACGACTGACGGCGTCTCGTAAAGTTTCATATGGAACTCCGATGGCATTAGCTGCATGTCTAATGGAACGTCCATCATCAATAAGTGCCACATCACGCGCAACATCCTCAGCACTAAGAGGCATTTTTAAACTTAATATTAAAAATATTAAAAGCCGGAGACTAAGAAATGTGCTGCAAGAAACAACACTGAACTAATCAAACTGAATAAACATTTTGATTCCATAGAAAGTAAACATTGGAATCTAGAATCATTTCATTGAATTAAGGATTAAGGGTTATTGTCCTCTATATTAACATTCATAATTGAAAACAAACAAAAAGATTATCTATTTATTCATTAAAAACAATAGACCAATCCAAAGCAGAAATATTTTTAGATGAAAACATGAAAAAATCAAGTGGGTGGAATTTTTGCTTGTCAGTGTATATATATATATATATATATATATATATATATATATATATATATAGGTTAAAGAGTATAGGAGAAAGACAGTATCCTTGGGGATGACCAGCTGATGGGAAATGTTTGAGTGATGTTGAGTTCTTTATCACGGTCTGAAAGGATTTGTTGGAAAGATATGTTTGGATAGTATGTATGATGTACAGTGGGAATTGGTAGGTTACAAGTTTATATAATTATCCATTATGCCATATTATGTCGAATACTTTTTCGTGCATCCTGCAGTGATGTAGTCAGTAAATCTGATAAATCTAACTGGACTACAGTGGAATGGTGAGTTCTCACTCCGAACTGAACTAAAAAGAAATACCCTAAGAGAAAGCTAGTTAATGCGACAAAATATCTACAAGTCCAGTAAATCCAAAAGAAAACAAATATATTAAGACTTCGATTACACGTAGTTGTACTAGCAGTTACTAATAGCCAAAAACATATTGTAATTGAAAGCCTCAATAATAACGGAAAGGAGAAAATGCAATTAATAAGCATGGTTACAATTATTTCAATGGAATATGTAATTAATTGCCGTATAAATTCATTGTCATGACAACTATCACATAAATACTCAAAACAAAATAAATAGTCATTGCCTCAAACCTCATGCTGTTGCAAATGAAGTGGTAAAATTAAGAAAAAAAATTCACTACAAGAAAATTTTTAGGGTATGTGTTGTCTGTGAAAATATGATCACATATCCTCAGCCTCACTCATCTTGGTATTGAAGATCAGTGATTGAAGAGCTTCACGGTTTTTAGTCGGTGTTCTACAGTTGTTCAGTGTCGCTTCGATTTAGCAAGGTAGATTATGATAACAACTTATTGTTAATATATATTATGTATTGTCAGTTTGAAATTATTTACAATTAAATCGGTTATAGCATTGCGGAGGCTCTAATCCAATGACGAATTTATAAGAAGTTGATAAATGTTAATGATAAATTCTCAAATATTTTTTATTCTTCTATTTTGCACAGTTAGCAATTGATTGGACAATGGTGAGTCATAGAATTGCATGCGCTCACGATTTTATAACCTTAATAAATAACCAAACCAGTTATCCTACATGCCTCATAAATATTTTTCAAAATTAGTCATGTTTCATTGTAATAATCATATCAGCGATAGGTAAAATGTGTGAGCTATATTTGTACAAATCAGCTGCGAAGTTCTGCAGAGCTGATGGCGCTCCGTTAAAAATTAGCCAATAAACCACATTGGGCTATTAAAAATTTTTTGAAGAGTATTGTAAACGGAGCTATTATTATTATATTTGTTTATTTAGAAATATTACATTCTGTCACATCAAGGACATTTATAATAGTGTTCAGAGAAAGCACACTCACACTCTATTTACAATAAAAAAAAAAAATAATACAGAAAAATAATAATAATAAATACAATAAAATAAAATAAAAATAAATACAATAAAATAAAATAAATGTATATAAACAAAAGAACTAACCTAATCATACACACTCGGGCTTGAGTGGAGGATCTGGCCATTGCCAAAACTCCAATAGATGATTATTTACAAAAGGTCTCTGGGCCACTGCCGCTTCAACCTTCGAGGAGGATTGTAAGGATGGGTGGTGCTGGATAGAGATTGTGCAAGGGGATTTGGATGATAGGTAAGGTTCTGGTGAAATTTGGAGAATTTTTCTGGAATAAGGTCTAGGACAAATGGAATATTAAGGTCATGGTGTAGAATTTTGTTATTTACATAGAACGGAGCATCAACTATTGTTCGAAGGACTTTAGATTGAAAGGATTGAATACGTTTGATGTTAGAAGCTTTTGCTGTCCCCCACAGTTCAAGTCCGTATGTCCATATAGGTTTCAGTATTGTCTTGTAGATAAGTAATTTGTTTTCAATAGAAAGTTTGGATTTTCTGTTTAGTAGTCTGTATAGCTGGCCGTATCGTCGGTTGAGTTCTTGTCTTTTGAGTATAATATATGGGTTCCACGTTAGTCTTCGGTCTAAATGAAAGCCAAGATACCGGACTGTGTCTGAGTAAGGAAGCTGGATGGAATTAAAGTGTACTGGTGGACAGGAACTGCGTCGGAGTGTAAAGGTAATATGTTGGCATTTAGATTCATTAACCTTAATGCGCCAGTCATTACACCAGTGCTCAATCAAGGTGAGGTGGTTTTGGAGATTTAAGGATGCTATGTTGGGATCTGAGTCGGATGATAGAATGGCGGTGTCATCAGCAAAAGTTGCCAGGAAGGTATCGGGATGGACAGGGATATCGGCGGTAAAGAGGATGTAAAGGACGGGACCCAATACGCTAACTTGAGGAACAAGTGCCTCAATTGGATAGCAATGCGAAAATTCAGTACCGCAACGAACTCGGAAGGTACGATCTGAGAGGTAGGAACGGAGAACAAGGTACAAGGACTGAGGAAGATAGTTTTTCAGCTTGGAAAGAAGCCCGGCGTGCCATACCCGGTCGAAAGCTTGAGCTATGTCCAGAAATGCACCCGAGCAATATTGCTTGCTTTCCAATGCTGCGGAAATATGATCAACCACTCGGAGTCCTTGTTGGACTGTAGAGTGTTGTGAACGAAATCCGAACTGATGGGAAGGAAGAGTTTTGGATTCTATAAAGGGTAGGATGCGTAAACGGAGCTAAATCTTAAAGCTTAAGACCATCAAAATTAAGAAAGGTCTATTTATTATATCGGTGATAGGCATTAAAACTCTAGTTATTCCATCTGTTTTTTTAATATATTTTTGCTTCCTCACTACCGAAGGTAGGGAAGCATTGTGTTCGTGCGCGAGATTAAAAAATTTTTTTTGCTCAGAATCGAAAATTTTCACTCGCGTTTTACGTTTCAGACATCAAGGATCAAATTTGGTTCGGTGTCTTTCGGTCTGTCTGTCTGTAGTCAAATCGATGTGACGGGCATATCACCTAGTGCTGTTCATCCAATCTTCATGAAATTTTCAGGGATTATGCTGATTGGTGCCTAGATGGTCCCATATCAATTTTATCAAATTCAGCGAAATTGAAGCACTAATAGTTGAGATATCGCGATTTTAAAATATTTTGCTTCCTCACTACCGAAGGTTTGAGTTTGGTTCGGTGTCTGTCTGTCTGTAGTCAAATCGATGTGACGGGCATATCACCTAGTACTGTTCATCCAATCTTCATAAAATTTTCAGGGATTATGCTGATTGGTGCCTAGATGGTCCCATATCAATTTTATCAATTTCCATCCAGCACTTCCGCTTACGCACGCGCAAACGTATATTTTTAGATATGCCAATATTTCAAAAAGGGCTCGTTCGATTTGGTTCAAAGTTAGATAAAAGGTAGACTTTGGTGAAAAAATAATGTAGTGTCAATTTCATTGAATTGTGTCCAACACTTTCTCTTATATGTGCACTACTAATCCGCCGTCCGCCGTCCGCGCATTTTTTCTGAAACTACTAGACCGATATTTTTCGAATTTGGATATAAAATCAGAGGTCACCCAATGATCATCCTCCTTCAACGACATTACTATTCGCCTTCTAGTTTCAAAAGGTATTAAAATTTTCTAAAAAATGAAGAAAGTTTCAGCGAAATCGAAGCACAAATAGTTGAGATATCGCGATTTTAAAATATTTTGCTTCCTCACTACCGAAGGTTTGAGTTTGGTTCGGTGTCTGTCTGTCTGTAGTCAAATCGATGTGACGGGCATATTACCTAGTACTGTTCATCCAATCTTCATAAAATTTTCAGGGATTATGCTGATTGGTGCCTAGATGGTCCCATATCAATTTTATCGAATTCCATCCAGCACTTCCGCTTACGCACGCGCAAACGTATATTTTTAGATATGCCAATATTTCAAAAAGGGCTCGTTCGATTTGGTTCAAAGTTAGATAAAAGGTAGACTTTGGTGAAAAAATAATGTAGTGTCAATTTCATTGAATTGTGTCCAACACTTTCTCTTATATGTGCACTACTAATCCGCCGTCCGCCGTCCGCGCATTTTTCTGAAACTACTAGACCGATTTTTATCGAATTTGGATATAAAATCAGAGGTCCCTAAGGATCATCCTCCTGTAACGACATTACTATTCGCCTTCTAGTTTCAAAATGGCGGCCGAAAAACCTGCGTTGCTATAGACTGTAGTGCCAAAACGAATGTACCGATTTTGATGACACTTCGCTAAAGTCATTTTCTCTACGCCCTCTAAATTGATCTATACTACATACTTCAACGAAAAGAAGCTCAAAAAAAGTTACGAGGGATGGTAAAATTAAATTCCCAATAACTCAAGAAGTAATCACATTTATGTCAATATTGCGATAAGGTATTTCAAAGGTATTAAAATTTCCTAAAAAATTAAGAAAGTTTCAGGGAAATCGAAGCACTAATAGTTGAGATATCGCGATTTTAAAATATTTTGCTTCCTCACTACCGAAGGTAGGGAAGCATTGTGTTCGTGCGAGAGATTAAAAAAATTTTTTTGCTCAGAATCGAAAATTTTCCCTCGCGTTTTACGTTTCAGACATCAAGGATCAAATTTGGTTCGGTGTCTGTCTGTCTGTCTGTAGTCAAATCGATGTGACGGGCATATCACCTAGTACTGTTCATCCAATCTTCATGAAATTTTCAGGGTTTATGCTGATTGGTGCTTAGATGGTCCCATATTAATTTTATCAAATTCCATCCAGCACTTCCGCTTACGCACGCGCAAACGTATATTTTTAGATATGCCAATATTTCAGAAAGGGCTCGTTCGATTTGGTTCAAAGTTAGATAAAAGGTAGACTTTGGTGAAAAAATAATGTAGTGTCTACTCGCCTTACATTACTATTCGCCTTCTAGTTTCAAAATGGCGGCCGAAAAACCTGCGTTGCAATAGACTGTAGCGCCTAAACGAATGTACCGATTTTGATGACACCTCGCTAAAGTCATTTTCTCTACGCCCTCTAAATTTATCTATACTACATACTTCAACGAAAAGAAGCTCAAAAAAAGTTACGAGGGATGGTAAAATTAAATTCCCAATAACTCAAGAAGTATACACATTTATGTCAATATTGTATATGGTTTTTTAGAAGTTTACGGAATTTCCTAAAAAACAAAAAAAAAATTGTGTCAAAATCGCACCATTAGGAGCAAAGATATGGTCTCTAGTTTTTTTTAGATGTGCTATTGCAAAAGGTTTATCTTTTTTTTTTATTTCTGAATGTGTTACTGAAGTAATGCTATTTTTTTTAGCATAGTACTGATTAAAAAAAATTTTAGTCCAATAATTAGAATTACCTTTTATTTTTTTTTATTTATAATTATGAATTTAATGTTACTTTATATGTATAATTGTTTGTAAATAATATATGAAATAGAAATAGTTTGCAGTGGTTTTTTTCAAATTAATTATCGTTTTATGTATATATATATATATATATATATATATATATATATATATATATATATATATATATATATATAAATCTTTCGTGCTGAAGCCCCTCCTCCAAAATTAAATCTTGATTCGGTAATGTATATACTATTATTAGAGCATAAGTTCGTATGTAATAATTTTCAACTTTAATGCTATGTGTATTAAAGGTGATATTTTGTAGTCTGCAACTGACATAAGTAGTCTGCTACTATGGAAAATAGCAGATGAAAATAAAATATGAAATTATTCTAATAAAGCATAAAGAAATATTGAGTTTTTATGCACTCTTGTAAAACAATAAATAAATTTATACATAAGACCTTTTGAACTAACAGTATTGAAATTCATGTTCAGTATGCATGTTTATTTATTTATTTATTTTTTTATTAAGCATAATCAAGTATGGAATATTCAAATACGAACCACTGTTGTTGAATGTTGAAGAGTAACTGTAATCGGCTATTCCGATTCTGCTTCTCTCAGAGATTTTATTCTCATACGAAAAATTGTATACCTTGTAATATACAACGGAAACGGTGAGGATGCTATACTGGCCTTACTTGGCAGACGTTTTTTTTATGTTATTTGTATTGAAAAAAAAAACTATAAATACAAATATATTTTTATTTTATTTTAATCAGTTGGAAAAGATGTGGAGGAGAATAAATTATTATGAAGAAAGGTCAAGAATGTAAACTAATTAATCAAAAATGTTTACCATATTTTGTTTGTATAGAATATATTTTTGTTGAAAAATTTTTGTTGCCTGTAAATAATTTATTTTCTAGGCACAATATTATGCAAAGGTGACAATAGTTATTTACACAATTGTTTTTGTTATTGTCTCATTTTATTATAATATTAATGCAATTTCTTTTCGTAGGTTCTTCTAAAAGGCCATAAGTATCATGTCTTTTGCAGTGTGGAGAGCTTTATTGTACAAAAGCTACTCCATCTATTCCAAGAAAAATTTCCTGTCGGTTATTTTCGAAATCATCACCCCCTGCCTTTTCCTCATTCTCTTCATTGAAATGGGAATCTTGATGTCACAATATTCACCGAAACCGAAAAATACAAAGGAGGAAAATACACAAAATGGATTGCAGACTATGGATTTACGTCTTGACCAGCTGAATAACTTTACAAAATATGAGGTCAAGAGTATGAATATAAATCAACACGGTAAAGATATATTATCTTTAATTACTGCTGAGTATTGCTAAAGCTAAACAATAATCTATTGTATGAAATTGATAATATTATATTTCTATATATACATTGCTTCCTCACTTCTGAAAATAGGGAAGCATTTTATTCGTGCGACAGGTTAAAAAAATATTGTGCTCAGAATCGAAAATTTACATTTTACATCCTCAGACATCAAGGATCAAATTTGGTTTGGTGTCTATCTGTCTGTAGTCAAATCGATGTAACGGACTCAACACCTACTACTGTTTATTCGATTTTCATGAAATTTTTAGGGATCGTGTAGGTTGGTGTCTAGATGGTCCTATATCAATTTTATGAAATTCTAACCTACACTTCCGCTTACACACGTGTTAATGCATTTTCGTAGACATGGCAATATTTCAGAAATGGCTGTTCGATTTGGCTCAACGTTGGATAGAAGACAGGTATTTGTGAAAAAAAAAAGTAGGCTCAATTTGATTCAATTCTGTCCATTGCTTTATTTTATATAAGCGCAAACGAGTTTTCCTTGATACGTTTACAACTCTAAAACCACAAGTTCGGTTTGGCTCAAATTTCGAGGGAATTTAGGGATTGGTCAACGTAACATGAAATAGGCATCAATTTTATCAAATCTATCTAAAGGGGACTCCACACGGTCAATCGGAATTGCACTAATGACGTTCCGAATTGTCGTGTATGTAGGTAGTGAATGAAGTACTGATGGTGGTGCGCTGCGGATTTCCGAACATCCGGAAATCAAAAGTTCATTCACGAGAAGTGGAGGGGGGGACTGAGGTAAAAGTAGTGGGGAGACTAACCATACTACTAGATAGGTTAGGTTACCTAGGCCTCACAACCATTATAAATTTCTGATTTTTAATATAAGTAAATAGTTAAATAATTTTTCATATCCCTTGTTTATATTTTTAAACCACCTTCATATATTTCTTTTAAATAGTCAAGTGGGCAACAAATTAAAAAAAAAAAAAAGAAGCGGAAACTTCACAATTTACTTTAAGAAAAAAAAAAAAATCTTTAACTGTTGTATTTATTTGTCATTAATTTTTCAATTTTTCTTAACAAGTTGATTATTTTCGCAATAGTTTTCCTTAATTTTTGTAAGTAGTAGACTTATATTTTACTAACTTTTGTCAAAACGATTTTCTATGAGACTAACCTAACTACTAGATAGGTTAGTTTACCTAGGTCTCGTTATTAAGTAAATAATTTCATAAAAGTAAATAGTTGTTTATATCCCTAGTCTATATTATTATTAACCATTTTCAACTATTTTTTCTTTAAATAGTCACGTAGGCAATAAATTGGAGAGAAAAAAAAGTGGAAACTTCACAATTTACTTATAGAAAAAAAATCTTTAACTGTTGTGTTTATTTGCGATTAATTTTTCCATTTTTCTTAACAAATTGATTATTTTCGCAATACTTTTCATAGATTTTTGTATGTAGTTGACTTATATTTTGGACTAACTTTGGTCTAAACGATTTTCAGGCACTAGGAAGTAATTATTATATCTCCATTTTCTCTTGATGCCGAATACTATAAATGACAATGTCCAAATAAGCATATCTATGCTGTTTCATTGTTTACAACTGCGCTAAATTGGTCAGCAACGATCTAACCTAAATCAGCAACGATAAGTAATGATCAGTAATGATTGAACGTGTAAGGGTCTTCATGATCAAAAGCGATCGCGGGCAATCTTGGAACTTCTTGTGACGTTCATTCATGAATTACCGTGGAGGGTCTGCTTAATACTAAAAAAAATGTGTTATTTGATATGCCTATAGTTTGAAAACGGCGCATTCAATTTGATCCAAACTTGGAGAAAATTTGGAGAACGGTATACAAATTACTTGGTATCAATTTCATTGAATTCAATTTAATAATTAAAATTAATATTAATATTTGTTAACAATATAATGGCTGTGAAATATAGAAGGCACTGATCGAACGGAGTAGGAATTAGGTTATTACAATATTGTTATGGGGTTATAAAATTTTAGGTTTTATTCAAAAATTGAATTGATGCTGTATTGTTTGGTCGATTCCAAACGTTACTGGCATGAAACTTATTGCCGTTTTTACATATAGCTCGTGTAATTTTCAGTAAATTTAAAGTAATGTTTACTCTGAGTTTGTAAAAAAGACGTCTCATTAGTGATTTTGTTTATTTCCATTGAAGTTCGGCCAGCTCATCGTGGTCTCGATTTTCTCCTTAAATATCAAAATTATGTCAACTTCACTCATATTTTTATATTCCAGCTTAATTAATTTTGTTCTGACTGACGAAAAGTATTGACCTCGTTAACTTCGAACAAACAACAAGTTGAATTTTTCTGATGGATTTTCTAGTTCCATCCATTTTACGAGTGAAAACATACCTATTAAATATATAGCACTACTGTTAATCGTTTGTAAAAGTTTTCAATTTTTATTCTATTTGTGCTAAAGGTGACATTTTGTACTCTGCAACTGATATAAGTAGTCTGCTTCAATGGAAAATAGCAGAGGATAATAAAATATAAAATTATACTAATAAAGCATAATAATAGGTCCAAATAATTCTGGATAGGTTGATCATTTGGTGTGGCGAGACAAAAGCTGTCCCTGAAGCACAATCAGGTTTTCGAGAAGCTGTCTGGATAATTTGTTTTTCCTGAACACCTTGATTCAGATAAAGCTGGGATTGTGTGGAAAGAGTTTCTTTGTTTTGTTTGTAGATTTTAAGAGAGCTTTTGACTCGCTGAATCACAATTTGCTTTGGCAGTGTCTTCACGATCTGGGTATTAGCAGCAAAATAGAATCCTAATAGAATCTTAAAAAATGTTTATCAGAACGCCTCAGCTAGAATTAGGAGTAATGGTGTGTTCTCGGATGAAATGGATGTCACCTTGGCTCTCTTACAGGGAGAAGTACTATCATCTTATCTTTTTAGTCTCTTTTTAAACAATATTGAGTTGACAGCTATACAGATGTTAAAAATAAATTAAAAATTCTGAACGAATACTGCTCTGTAAAAAAGTTGGTGAACACAAAAAAGACTAAATTATTATACTTCGACAGAGGAAGATGCAAGAGGGTGAGAAAATTATTTTATGAAAATACTTAAATTGAAAGGGTCCCCGAGTGCATTTACTTAGGAGTGCCATTCTCTGATACTAGCTTATTTTATAGAGTCACTAGATACTTTGAATCGAAGACTAGGGCAGCAATAGGATCTGTTATTTCAATTTGTGCTAAATCAAAAAGCTGAGAACGTGGGATAGTAGAATAAAAATAACTGATTCAATTGCAATTAGTATCCTTCACTATAATGTTCAATTATGGGGTCTCAGGTATATTGACAAGCTAGAAGGCGTAACCTTAAACTTTTATAAACGTTTATCCTATCTAAATAAAAATTGTCGCTTCTGGTTAATGAGATTGGAATTTAAAATACTTCATTGCTCAGTTGCGATACTGAAATTGGCGCTGTCTTGGGTTTTAAAAATGGAAAATGATAGATTTCCTAAAATTTGTTTTAATAAATTAAAATAAATACAAATTAGTGGCAAAGGGAGTCATAAATTCAATTGGTTCAATCAGTCACACACTCTGCTGAGCTTAATAAATAAACAGTTCATTCTGGAGTTAGAAGACGCAGGTGCATTCCAGCTTGAAATGAATCTTTGAATGGAATTTTCTTCTTGAAATGAAAATTGAAACGATAAGCCTGTTTAAAGCCATACAGAGGAACTTGATAAACAAAAACTGATTACCCCTACTATGTACAGTCCAATGTATCTCAATATGTATACAGTGAGTGATAAGCATCAACCTTATTTCGTATTAAATTCCCCGTTCCAAATGACGAAAACACTAACAAAGATTAGGTTATCTGGCGATTATAATATTAAATTAACGTTTAATACTACTTATTACTATGTCAAGCCAAAAGAAATTTGCACGCTTTGTAACTTAAATGAATTAGAGGACCTTTTTCATATTTTTGTCCGCATTTTAATATTAGCTGATAAACGAAATAATTGGATATCAAACCCGCAAATGTTGAAGAGTAACTGTATTTCATATAATGTAATATTCTTATAATCGGCTTCTCCCAGGGATTTTATTCGTATACAAAAAATTGTATACCTTGTAATACAGATATATTTTAGACAATGATAACGGTGAGGAAGCTATACTGACCTTACTTCGTAGACGTTTTTTTAAACAATTTGATACTTGACAATAGAGAAAACCCCTTTTACTCAAGCCGCTGCGACTCTACTCACAGAAACACTGGCTGCTCCGTGCCTGTGACTTACCGGTTGGCCTTACCGGTACTCCACTGCTCCACCGTTCCGCTGTCACAGTTGGGCCTTACCGGTCCTCCACTGCTCCACCGTTCCGCTGTCACAGTTGGGCCTTACCGGTCCTCCACTGCTCCACCGTTCCGCTGTCACAGTTGGGCCTTACCGGTACTCCACTGCTCCACCGTTCCGCTGTCACAGTTGGGCCTTACCGGTACTCCACTGCTCCACCGTTCCGCTGTCACAGTTGGGCCTTACCGGTAATCCACTGCTCCACCGTTCCGCTGTCACAGTTGGGCCTTACCGGTACTCCACTGCTCCACCGTTCCGCTGTCACAGTTGGGCCTTACCGGTACTCCACTGCTCCACCGTTCCGCTGTCACAGTTGGGCCTTACCGGTACTCCACTGCTCCACCGTTCCGCTGTCACAGTTGGGCCTTACCGGTCCTCCACTGCTCCACCGTTCCGCTGTCACAGTTGGGCCTTACCGGTCCTCCACTGCTCCACCGTTCCGCTGTCACAGTTGGGCCTTACCGGTACTCCACTGCTCCACCGTTCCGCTGTCACAGTTGGGCCTTACCGGTACTCCACTGCTCCACCGTTCCGCTGTCACAGTTGGGCCTTACCGGTACTCCACTGCTCCACCGTTCCGCTGTCACAGTTGGGCCTTACCGGTCCTCCACTGCTCCACCGTTCCGCTGTCACAGTTGGGCCTTACCGGTACTCCACTGCTCCACCGTTCCGCTGTCACAGTTGGGCCTTACCGGTAATCCACTGCTCCACCGTTCCGCTGTCACAGTTGGGCCTTACCGGTACTCCACTGCTCCACCGTTCCGCTGTCACAGTTGGGCCTTACCGGTACTCCACTGCTCCACCGTTCCGCTGTCACAGTTGGGCCTTACCGGTCCTCCACTGCTCCACCGTTCCGCTGTCACAGTTGGGCCTTACCGGTACTCCACTGCTCCACCGTTCCGCTGTCACAGTTGGGCCTTACCGGTAATCCACTGCTCCACCGTTCCGCTGTCACAGTTGGGCCTTACCGGTACTCCACTGCTCCACCGTTCCGCTGTCACAGTTGGGCCTTACCGGTACTCCACTGCTCCACCGTTCCGCTGTCACAGTTGGGCCTTACCGGTACTCCACTGCTCCACCGTTCCGCAGTCACAGTTGGGTCACTGGCACAGTCAGAGCGGATCATTGGGTTACAATTAATTTTATCAATCACATTTTGCTTATTTTCATTTTTATTTCACATTTTTTTTATTGTTATATACCATTTATATTCCATTTTCTTCATTCTGATGAATTAATACCTGCATACATTTTCTCTAAATCAGCTATTAAATGAATGTTTTAGGGTATTTTAATAACATCTAAATTAAATTTTTCTCCAAGTGAGAGTAAGTTAATTAAATTATTTGTTACTATTAATTTTAGTAAATATAATTATTCTAGATATTTTTATTAAGAATATTATGTTTCCATTATTTAATTCATATTAATATTTTTCTCTTTTTAATATGCTTACGTTATTCAGGTTCTGTATGATTTTATTTGTATTAATTCAGGAAATATTTATTAGTATTATATATATATATATATATATATATATATATATATATATATATATATATATTGTAACATATTTTATTAGGGCCTTTATAAATTGTAATTGTTAATAGAACTCATGTTCATGTTTTGTTCTTTTATTATTCTTAAACTGTGTAAAAAGGAGCATTTATATGTAATATATTTATAAATTTAATTTATTTCTAGATATTGTATTAATTTTAGTTGTGATTTAATTTGAAATTGTAAAAAACAATAATAACATTTAACTAGCGATAAAGATGAAAAGGCACGATGTATTAGAGCTAACGGACGGGAGGTCCTTCTCTGTCAAAGGTTGAATTGTAAATGATTAGTGGTATAGTGTTTTGGAGGTTGCGCGTGGCGCCCTCTAGGCGTTGTTCTAATGAACTATTTAATTCATTTATGCAAGTCATTGTTTTTTCTAATAATGATTAATAATTTTAGTAGCGCAACCTGTTAATTTCCTAGTGAACTATGAATTTCATTTTGAAGCTATTTATTATTTCTTTTTGTAATTACTGATTTTGTAAATAACTAATGTTTGTAATATTTTTAAAATAAGTATTCATGTACTATAATTAAATAAAAATAAAAGGAGTTTGGACTTAGAGATCTCAGGGCCTAGTTAAAATAATTGTTACTAGTGTAGCCTCTCACCAACCTGAATACAGGTCTGAGGGCTGGTTATTAGTTTAAATACTGGCCTGGTCCCTAGGGCAGGCACTCTCTCCCGAGTCACTACCATCTCACATAGGCTCCTGGTATCTCTCTGTCTGACAGTTTGAAACCAGACCAATGTGTTATTTTTTGGTTTTACCTTCCTCCTTCTCTCTTCTCTCCTAACCTACCTCCTCTCTCCTTTCGTAGGAATAACTTGGTTGGCCCTTGTTTTCCTACAGTCCCCCTTGCATCTTCCAGGTTGTCCCTGGGAGTGTAGGGTTACCTATCCTCGCAACGTCAGGGGATTGCCTCCTCGGTTGCAGAGCCCTGGATGTGTAGGGGTTGTCCCCCTATCATTCTTGGCGGTCTTACCTTATCCTATCCTCGCAACGTCAGGGGATTGCCTCCTCGGTTGCAGAGCCCTGGATGTGTAGGGGTTGTCCCCCTATCATTCTTGGCGGTCTTACCTTATCCTATCCTCGCAACGTCAGGGGATTGCCTCCTCGGTTGCAGAGCCCTGGATGTGTAGGGGTTGTCCCCCTATCATTCTTGGCGGTCTTACCTTATCCTATCCTCGCAACGTCAGGGGATTGCCTCCTCGGTTGCAGAGCCCTGGATGTGTAGGGGTTGTCCCCCTATCATTCTTGGCGGTCTTACCTTATCCTATCCTCGCAACGTCAGGGGATTGCCTCCTCGGTTGCAGAGCCCTGGATGTGTAGGGGTTGTCCCCCTATCATTCTTGGCGGTCTTACCTTATCCTATCCTCGCAACGTCAGGGGATTGCCTCCTCGGTTGCAGAGCCCTGGATGTGTAGGGGTTGTCCCCCTATCATTCTTGGCGGTCTTACCTTATCCTATCCTCGCAACGTCAGGGGATTGCCTCCTCGGTTGCAGAGCCCTGGATGTGTAGGGGTTGTCCCCCTATCATTCTTGGCGGTCTTACCTTATCCTATCCTCGCAACGTCAGGGGATTGCCTCCTCGGTTGCAGAGCCCTGGATGTGTAGGGGTTGTCCCCCTATCATTCTTGGCGGTCTTATCCTATCCTCGCAACGTCAGGGGATTGCCTCCTCGGTTGCAGAGCCCTGGATGTGTAGGGGTTGTCCCCCTATCATTCTTGGCGGTCTTACCTTATCCTATCCTCGCAACGTCAGGGGATTGCCTCCTCGGTTGCAGAGCCCTGGATGTGTAGGGGTTGTCCCCCTATCATTCTTGGCGGTCTTACCTTATCCTATCCTCGCAACGTCAGGGGATTGCCTCCTCGGTTGCAGAGCCCTGGATGTGTAGGGGTTGTCCCCCTATCATTCTTGGCGGTCTTACCTTATCCTATCCTCGCAACGTCAGGGGATTGCCTCCTCGGTTGCAGAGCCCTGGATGTGTAGGGGTTGTCCCCCTATCATTCTTGGCGGTCTTACCTTATCCTATCCTCGCAACGTCAGGGGATTGCCTCCTCGGTTGCAGAGCCCTGGATGTGTAGGGGTTGTCCCCCTATCATTCTTGGCGGTCTTACCTTATCCTATCCTCGCAACGTCAGGGGATTGCCTCCTCGGTTGCAGAGCCCTGGATGTGTAGGGGTTGTCCCCCTATCATTCTTGGCGGTCTTACCTTATCCTATCCTCGCAACGTCAGGGGATTGCCTCCTCGGTTGCAGAGCCCTGGATGTGTAGGGGTTGTCCCCCTATCATTCTTGGCGGTCTTACCTTATCCTATCCTCGCAACGTCAGGGGATTGCCTCCTCGGTTGCAGAGCCCTGGATGTGTAGGGGTTGTCCCCCTATCATTCTTGGCGGTCTTACCTTATCCTATCCTCGCAACGTCAGGGGATTGCCTCCTCGGTTGCAGAGCCCTGGATGTGTAGGGGTTGTCCCCCTATCATTCTTGGCGGTCTTACCTTATCCTATCCTCGCAACGTCAGGGGATTGCCTCCTCGGTTGCAGAGCCCTGGGTGTGTAGGGGTTGTCCCCCTATCATTCTTGGCGGTCTTACCTTATCCTATCCTCGCAACGTCAGGGGATTGCCTCCTCGGTTGCAGAGCCCTGGGTGTGTAGGGGTTGTCCCCCTATCATTCTTGGCGGTCTTACCTTATCCTATCCTCGCAACGTCAGGGGATTGCCTCCTCGGTTGCAGAGCCCTGGATGTGTAGGGGTTGTCCCCCTATCATTCTTGGCGGTCTTATCCTATCCTCGCAACGTCAGGGGATTGCCTCCTCGGTTGCTGAGCCCTGGATGTGTAGGGGTTGTCCCCCTATCATTCTTGGCGGTCTTACCTTATCCTATCCTCGCAACGTCAGGGGATTGCCTCCTCGGTTGCAGAGCCCTGGGTGTGTAGGGGTTGTCCCCCTATCATTCTTGGCGGTCTTACCTTATCCTATCCTCGCAACGTCAGGGGATTGCCTCCTCGGTTGCAGAGCCCTGGGTGTGTAGGGGTTGTCCCCCTATCATTCTTGGCGGTCTTACCTTATCCTATCCTCGCAACGTCAGGGGATTGCCTCCTCGGTTGCAGAGCCCTGGGTGTGTAGGGGTTGTCCCCCTATCATTCTTGGCGGTCTTACCTTATCCTATCCTCGCAACGTCAGGGGATTGCCTCCTCGGTTGCAGAGCCCTGGATGTGTAGGGGTTGTCCCCCTATCATTCTTGGCGGTCTTACCTTATCCTATCCTCGCAACGTCAGGGGATTGCCTCCTCGGTTGCTGAGCCCTGGATGTGTAGGGGTTGTCCCCCTATCATTCTTGGCGGTCTTACCTTATCCTATCCTCGCAACGTCAGGGGATTGCCTCCTCGGTTGCAGAGCCCTGGGTGTGTAGGGGTTGTCCCCCTATCATTCTTGGCGGTCTTACCTTATCCTATCCTCGCAACGTCAGGGGATTGCCTCCTCGGTTGCAGAGCCCTGGGTGTGTAGGGGTTGTCCCCCTATCATTCTTGGCGGTCTTACCTTATCCTATCCTCGCAACGTCAGGGGATTGCCTCCTCGGTTGCAGAGCCCTGGATGTGTAGGGGTTGTCCCCCTATCATTCTTGGCGGTCTTATCCTATCCTCGCAACGTCAGGGGATTGCCTCCTCGGTTGCAGAGCCCTGGATGTGTAGGGGTTGTCCCCCTATCATTCTTGGCGGTCTTATCCTATCCTCGCAACGTCAGGGGATTGCCTCCTCGGTTGCTGAGCCCTGGATGTGTAGGGGTTGTCCCCCTATCATTCTTGGCGGTCTTACCTTATCCTATCCTCGCAATGTCAGGGGATTGCCTCCTCGGTTGCAGAGCCCTGGATGTGTAGGGGTTGTCCCCCTATCATTCTTGGCGGTCTTACCTTATATGCCTTATCCTTCTCATCCTATCTAAGCTTGTACACCCTATTCTTACAAACTTAAATAGATACACGAATACCAGGTTAATTGACTAACAGAAAGATTAAAGGTTAGAAGGACAGATTTCAGATTTTAAAAGACAAACGTCGGCAATAACATACAGACAGACAGAGAGATAAATAAATGTAAAAATAAAAATATTACAATATATATATATATAAAAGTTAAGCGTAGCGAGCTTGAAACACTCAACAAAAAGTACTAGGGTTAAGAATTAACACACATGAAGACGAAATCAAGACTGGTTTATTTCTCCTTCTAATCCTCTATAAATACCTTCTGAGATTGTTTACAGCACTGCATTTGGTATTAACGCTAATACTGTCCCGCTCCGTACCTTAACTCCCCCTCCCCCACCAGTTCACGGACATCCTTCGTAAACTTATAAATAATAATGGATAAAATCAATAATACAAAAAGGAAATAAACAGATACATTCTACAAAAATTCTTGCACCTACTGTAGCAAAGGTAATGTAATCATACAACAACAAAAAAAATTCCATATACCATAATAAATAGCCAAACAAAATACACTGTCCTCCTTGCAAACAAACTACACATTTCACTGCACATATATACACTATAGAAAACAAAAGAAATAAATATGATCTCCTGAAATACATGAAAACACAAAAAAAAAAAATTCTCTTTCCGGAGATGAGGACACTCCAACTCTACGGTTGCTCTGGCTCTGAAATTGGGAGTTTTAATTGTTCTATATGAACCGTTCTTCTTTTCTTTGGTTCTTTGGCACTCTCAATAGTCACGACGTTATGCTCCCTAATGACTATCACCTTGAATGGCTCCTCATATCTCCGCAATTCCTTCCCCCTATTAGACCCTATCTTGCGATACACGATGGACCCGATCCTCAATCCCCCTGTGATCTCCTTTACTTTCAAATTCTCCCGCGCCACTCTTTTACGCTTTTCTCCCTCTATCTTTCCTTTAACCTTTTCCCACAGATTGCCCAATTCCATTTTATTGCTAATGATTGCTCTCGTCATTTCCTCATCCACAGCTGTGCTTTCCCAGTTCCGTTGCCGCCCGCGTAGTCCGAAGAGGATTTTAAATGGAGAGAACCCCGTTACCGTATGGATCGAATGGTTGTATGCTGCCACCGCTTTCCGCATTGCCATGTCCGGTTCTAGCCCTTTTTCCACCTGGTATACTCTGAGGTGGTCACTGAGAGTGCTATGCAGTCTTTCTATACTTCCCCTACCCTTAGGGTGCCCCGGAGTGTTGAAATGCCACTTCACCCCTAAGCTCTTCATTTCCTCTCTGATCTTAGCATTGTCGAATTCCCTACCCCTATCCGACGTTATGCGATCGGGCACTCCGTAAAATTGGAACCACGTCTGAAGGGCTCCGAAGACTGTCTCTGCTGATCGGTCTTGCACCCGGTGTGCCATCGCGGCTTTGCTGAAGAGGTCTATGAGCGTGACCCACTTGTACCCTTTCCACGTGAACGTATCCACCTGCAAGTCGCTGAGCGGTGCCTCCACTGTGGGTGTCTCCTCCTGCATTGTTCTGGGTGGGTGTCTATCGTACTTCGTACTTAGGCAAATCTCACACGCCCCTATGACTTCCTCGATTGTTCTCCTCATACCCCACCAAAAATACCTACGTCGTAACGCCTGGAATGTCTCTTGCACTCCGCGGTGATTCGTTTTGCCCTGATGGTAGGCAAGAGTCACTTCTTTCTGTCGTTCGTCGTCCCGCACCGCTTCCACCATCAGCTTACACCGGATGAATGTCCTATCTATCCCCAATCGTTCATCGCGCCATAGCCTTTTTATCTTCTCCCAAATCGTTTCATTCCCCACATATAAGTGGTGAATTTTTCTTGCTTTCGACGCGTCTTTTAACGCTCTGCAGATCTGGTCCCCGCTGGCCCCTGGTTGTGACCAAATGGTTGTTATTCGGCTGTTTCCATATTTGCTGTATAGAATCTTCATCAGACCCGACGTCCTGGTCTTCCAGATTATCTGGCGGTTCTTATCGTTGACGATTTCCTCCCGTTCTTCCATATCCGCTGATCTCTCTTCTTCTGGACTTTCATGTCCTGGGGACTCATTCCCAATCTGACCTCCCTCTCCCTCTGGCGTCCACTCACTCAGGAACTGTCTCACATCCCTGGATGATTCTCCCGTGTCTTCCTCTATAGCATTTATGGTGATCGCCCTTGACAACCAATCTGCCACCACGTTCTCCTTCCCAGGTTTGTAAACAATGTTCAAATTGTATTGAGTCAGGAATTCCTTCCAACGTGTAACTCTAGCCGAGGACTCCTTCAACTTGCCTGCCCATTGTAGAGGTCTATGATCCGTGTGCACACGGAACTTCCTCCCAAACACGTAAGGTCTAAAATGGTCGATCGCCCACACAATCCCCAATAGTTCTCTTTCCAGCGCGCTATATCTAGTCTCTGCGTCCGTAAGCCGCCTGCTGGCATAC